TGTTGACTACTTACGTGAACTCATCATGCATCTTCCGGCGGCGGCAGGTAAGCTCTGCATGATTTATATGATTCACAAAGATTTTGGGGGTACGTACTTGAGTGATTTATAGACCAGCTTGTTGCATGGGCTGATGTCATCTTCCACGGAGGCGCCCTGCTGACTACCATACCTCATTTGGAACCCCGTGTGGTTGCTTTGCACAGTATGTGCGCATATAGGAGAGATGTTGCCACATTTTTCCCAAGTTGAAAAGCGATGCTTATGGCGTTTTTGGGCTTTACATCATTTTTGGATTCTCCATTCTTTCCCCATTATAGATGTTCTGTTATGTTGATCGCATTTGTTTTTTTCTACGGTTGCTGGGTCAGTAGAAAATTGTTTTTATGTATATCTGCCCTTTCATTAATAATGCAGCGCATTGATCATTTGTTTGTACAAATATCTTTTTAAGTTATTGCATCAGTTTGGTAAGTCGTTTTGATTCGAGCGGCTCATGGTTTTATTGTTTTGTATTAATTAATAATTACTCACTGCGAAATGTGGGCTCTTAGTCGTGCTTATAGAATTCTTGTCCTTATCTACTCAGGAGTACGCCATACTCTGTCATAAGTCTCTCATTCTATGCGTTGTTTTAGTCGTACATTTTTATCAGTTGTGCAACGGTGACATTTTGTGATACTTCATCTGGATTTATGTTTGTACCATAAGCTGTCGCTGGTTTTTGGTGACTCAGTAGACTAAAAAATTACATAGCCATTGATGTGACTACTACACGTTAATCGAATGTGTACCTGCTGTTTTCATCTCCTCAAAAATTATTTCTATGAAAAGATAGGGTCATGGCGTGGCTACTGAACGATATCAAGAAACGCTTCAATGAGGCTGCAGCCTCTATTGATGCATCAATGAAGGAAGAAGATTCCAAAGCTGTTGAAGAGGTGTGATTTATATAACGCTAAGATTACTATTCTGCATTTTCTAAATATGATTTTACCAGTATCTGTATCATACTCAGCATGATTGAAGGTTTTACAGCAGACCACCACTGAAATAACCGGTGAAAAAGAAGAGAAGGAACAGAATGATAGAGGGGACCAGCTGACTACTCAAATGGAAAAAGTATCTCTCGAGGAGATCCAACAAAGAGGAAAGGCATTAGCATGTGAGTTCTCTGATCTTGTAAACTTGAAATTAGCTCTCATTTGACATTTCCAGCTAAGTTGTTCGTATATGCAAAGGATACGACAGAGAAAGCTACCAAGGGTATTGCGGCAGTAAAGAATGCCGTCGTCGAGAATGTAAGTTTTTGGAACCAAGGTTTTGCATTCTTTGGCTGAATGTTGAAAATTACTTCTTTTTAAGACACTCATTGGAGAACTGGATCGTGAGCAGGAGGCCTTTGCTGCAGAACTGGAAGCCGCTCGTCTTCCCGATGTTGTTGAGCCATGGGATGGTGTGCCCAATCGAGAATTTGCGAAAAAGAAGATTTTGGCGCTTTCCCTGGTTAGACATTTTAGCTTCCTTTCTTTCATTCGTTATTTGAGACTCCATTACTATACTGAAAGGCACCCTCCACCCATTCTAGAATTCCATGTCTTGTTCGTTTCGGGGCCTTCTCGTCTCCCTGATTTTATATAAGAAGTCGACACGCACCTGACAATATTCGTTCCGGAGAGATCCCAGGCCACTTCTCCGGAAAAATGGCTGGATGGGTGCACACGGTGGGCGGTGCCGACTTGGGTCGAAGCTTTCTCGCTTCCGAAGCCACTCTTCGCGCCGCGTCTTGGGCATTAGTTTGATAGAGGATCCTATTATCGCAAGCTGCCAAAAGCTCAAGACCCTCAACTTGGAGTAAACAGTGCTTTTAACGTAAGCTCTCGCGTTGCCCTTCTTACAAGGGAACGATACCTAATGTCCGTGGCCTTATGAAATGTGATGTATACCAATGTACTCGTCTTTGAACGCTGATTCCGAATCTGGCTTCCGTTTCTGCTAATCG